ACTTATCTATCTATCCATCTATCTATCCAGACCCCATTCCAAGCTCTAGAGCGCCAAACCCTTAATCCCAATGTATAGAGGGTTCGAGGGTATGAGGGGCCCAAAACCCTATTCTAACTATTAAGGCCCTTACATTAAACCACACACCATAAATTGACCCTAGTCGTATTATAATAGCATTTCTTTACATCTCGGGGCAGAGGAGTGAAGCCGTTCGGGGGCTGCTCAAAGACTGAGGCAAGGAAGCAGGTCGCACAACGTAAACGTCTGGGATTCTTCAGGGTGTAGGGTTTAGGGTTGTATATAGGGGGGCATTCTTGTCATGGTCTCCGTCTGCTTCTTGAGTTTAAGCCAAAGTCCAAGAGGCAGCGCGCACAGAGACACACACACACACACATACACATCAGAGGGGCCAGGACACAACTCGAAATACAAAGGCATTGAACCCTTAACCATGTTTGACCATCAACTGTTGTTGAAAACCTCGTGACGTGTTAATGTGATAAGTTGTCCTTGGCTCCCTGATCTTTGTTTGTGGGCTCATTGCCACGCAGCATGCTGCCGTAACTATGTTTTGCAGCTGCATCAGTATCTCAGGTCAAGCGGGTGGCAAGAAAGCATGACCGCTACGGCTTCTTCTGAGTCTGCCTTGAGCAGATTCCGTCACTGTCACGACGTAGGATTCGCAGACTGCAAGAGAAAACACGTTGGACGTAGGCCCCATGTTAGTTCCCTACACCGTAGACCCTTTAGAGGCTTGTACACTCAACGCTCTGTGTTGATACTCCGTCTGTGTGTGCGTGTGTGTGTGTGTGTGCGCGTCATTTTACATGTGGGGCAGTGGGTGGTGTGCAAGATGCAATCTTCAGGCAGGGAACCACATCATATTTTCATAGCACATCTCTGAATTTGCAAGACCCGCGAAATCTAGTACAGAGGCGGGAGTAATTACTTAGTACTGGTATCCTGTTAGTCCTTATCCAGGTTCACTTTAACACACGTATCCCAAAACCTGACTTCTGCTTGTTCAGGGCATCAGCTTAAAATACTATATAACCTTCTAGAGACAGAGGTTTAAGGGTTTTGGGCTTGATGTGGGCCTTGGGGTGGTTGTAAGGTGTACGGTCTCTAAACCCTGCATTTCCTCAAGCCCCAAACACTGTCGTTTAGGCTTTAAACTTGATTAGGACGCTACTCGAAAACAACCCTGGTGGCAGCCATTTTGGCCAAACGCCACTTTATTGTAGGACCTCTGTCATGGATTTGTGTGTCCATGCCGGAACCTCCGCAAGCATTCCGGGCGCTGTGATCTTTGATGAAGGCCTGGCCGTCATACCTGCACCAAAGTTGGAAAGTCGAAGTCGCAGCAAGCAATACGAGAAGGACGTGGTGAGATAGTAAGGGGTCTGAACATTCAATGAACAGAGATGTGTAGCTGTTTGGTAACATGCCAGAAAACAGATTTCTTCTTACCAGGAGCCAGTTGATGATGAGGAGGTTGACATCGATTGGATGGCCCATCTTACAAGGAGAGCGGGTACAGATGAAGGCATTGAGTCAGATCAGCTCTTGGCAGAGGTTCTACAACTTTCGGGACATGGATGTGAACGAGCAGCAGGTGCCCGGTCCAAGTCGCTGTTTTCGGCTCCGGAGGCCAGAGTCGATGTGCCCCATCCATGTCGCAGCCAAGCACGGCCACGCGAAGATCGTGAAATCGCTTCTCATGGCGCGAGCAGATCCCAAGCGGAAGACATCCCGGGGCCGCACGGCGCTTGAGATCGCGCGGAAAGCAGATGTGGATGGCTCCCATCGCGAGGCGGTGGAGGCTCTCGAGATTGCCCAGGGGGCTGTCTCCCTCCGGCGAGCCATTGAGATCATGGGCAGTTGAATTCGCACTTGCAGTGAGCACTCCGTGCTAGCGCTGCTAGGGATGTGGTGCAGAGTTTAACTCTAAACCCTAAACCGAAACCCTGAGGTTTGCAGAGAGACGGCCTTCAAAGGATCATACTCTAGTTTTGCGAGCTTGCATCGGAACTGGCAATCCCGCTCAGCGCGAGAATCTGCGCTTGGGCCACGATCGAGCGTCATCGAACTGTACCGGTTGTTTTCTCAGAGGACTAACACTGAGCCAGCCAATAACTCATAATGCAATTCTTTGGTAGGGTTGACCTCAGAACCCTGTTCTACTGAAAGCTAAGCTCGTAGCTTTCTCAAATTTTTGCTGACTGTTTCGACCTCGCTCTGCTTTGACAGATATGCAAGTCGCTTGAAATCAGCGAGCCTGATGGCAGCATTGGTCAGCTTAGGTCTCGAGTTGCCTACACCCTGAACCCTAAAGTGTACATGTTGTAGTGATGGTGGTCGCAGGAAGTTGTAGACTTTTGGGTCTAGTGCGTGGGGTTGTGGTCACAGGATCTTGGATATCCCTAAACCCTAAACCCTAAACCGTGGCAGCCATCAGGAAGCGATCTGCCATCGCATTGAATTGAAAGCCGGTGCAGGTTTCTAACATCTCTGCGTAAGGCTTTCATTTAAGTGTTGACTTACTCCTCCAAGACGGGCTTTTTGGACTTTGAACTTTTATTGTGGGTGGCCATAACGCGGTGTAAATATCATGTACAGTATGTGTAAATGTGTATGTATATATCTAGATACAGATATACGTGCATGTTAGCATCATTATAATATACGGACGTGTACTGTGCAGCGTGTGCTCATGACATGTGTGTACATGCATGCATACATACACACATACATACAGACATGCATAGTTTGTTAGATGTACAAAGTCTATGCATAGCTCCAGACACTGCAGACACTATTCCTGGGGTTCTACCTTGGGTGTCAAGAACGGGGCTCCCAGCCACGATAATCTGCGCATATTTCGGGCTCATGTCCCACAATTTGCAAAATCCCGGCACGGCCGTGTCCTAAGGAAAATGCGGGTCATTGTACAGCTGAGTACGTTGGCTGGATTTTGGATTCGAAATGTCTGAATCCTGCTATATTTGGTATATATTGTATAGGGTTTCGGGTTTATGGTTTGGTATGAGAGGAAGCATGTTGGTTGTTTTTGTCCTGCCTCCCGCCAGCACATTGCGGCAAGCATGTGGGCATGTCTCTGAATCCACCCGTACACTAGGGGAAGCATTTTGGCCGGGGTCCTGAATATCGCCAGTATACATGGGCGGAAAGAGTTTTTTCAATTAACTAGTGTGTCTGGCTCCTACCAGTGCAAGGGATGAAACATTTTGGTCGTCGGCTCTTGGAGGTTTCGTGATGGTCTCCAATTGCTTCGTGGTGGTCTCCTGGTGGTCTCCCGGTCGTTTTGTAGTGGTCGCCCGGTTGTCTCTTCTTCTTGGCCTCCTGGTGGTCTCTCGTTGCTTGTGGTGGTCATGGTCTGGGTGGTACCTGCCCTCTCGCTGGTGAACAGGCAGGTGCGCTCCGCGGTGCGTGCAGGGGGGTGGGCACGGGAGTGCGTGCGGTGAATTTGTTCTATTTTACTCGCTGCTTGGAGAGATTTATGCTGGCATTACAGAAAAACACAATATGAATGCATTCAAAGTGTCATCACAGGTTGAAACATGCATGTTCTGTAGAATCCAAGGCTATCCTTAACTGCACGAAATGTTTTCTGCATATCCAGGTGTGTGATACAGGTCGATGCTTCCCGTGTTCAGTCGGTGTGATGTATGTTTAGGGTTTAGGGTTTAGGGTTTAGGGTAATGTAGGAGCCTAGATAATTACCAATACTATGTTGGGGGCTCCTTATTATAATTATGGTATCATATAATAGGCCCGAAGACCGTATTCTAATTATGATAAGGCCCCAATATTACTCACCAAGCATTGCGCCGCTGTTTTGCTGCTTGAAATTAAATGCGTTTTCTTCCTCTGCGGGGGAAGCTCGCAGCTTTGCAGCTTTTGTGTGTGTGTGTGTGTTGTTCTATGTTTGTATTTATTGGTTCGTCAATCTATCAATAATGTCTGCGGTGGTGTATATTTTAGGCAATACGAGAAATTATTAGATAATGAGGACTGGGAGGGGTGTTGCAGGAGGGTTTTCAGAATGAGTTTGGGGAGGGCTGGATTTGAGGCTTCCTACGGAAATCGGATGCATATGGACATGACGGCAGCGGTCCCTGGGCGGCAAACGCTGTAGGCGCGGGGACCCTGTTCCAGCGTTCGCTGGCCCCCAGCGGATGCTGGAGCCGACCGGGGACACTGGCACGGGGTCCGCGGGCCTCATTCGCAGCCGCCAGCGGAAGCTAGAGGAGGATCCTCGTCCTGACTTCCGCAGAAAGCTTTGGTTCCTTCGAAAACGATGCCTGCCCCGTGCGCAACCTGGAACCCCTCCTCCAGCATACCTCCCACTTCGATTTCTCTTGGCAGTCTCCTGGATTCGTATGACAACGGAGCCAATTCTGTTCCGTTTGACAAGATTGTGTAGTCTGGTGAGGGTTGCAGAATTTTGACTTCCGGAAGACGAGCCGTCTGGATTCACCAACGGCAGTTTTGCAAGTTATATTGGGCGCGGTTTAGGGTTTAGGGTTTAGGGTCTAGGGCTTGATTTGATGGCCATGTCTATCTAACCCAAAAGCTCCAGAATCCCTATTTTTCTCCTATGGGGTCCACGCGAAACCCAAGTTAGCCATTCAGGTTTCGGGTTCCAACACATTCCTCCGTTGGGGATAAGTAGGCTTGAATACAGACTATTCCGCGAGATATACCGGGCTTCGCACTAAATGATGTAGAGCTGTTCCGAAACCGTAAGCCGAAAGACCCTTAAAGCAGCACCCTCAACAGTTCCCTAAAGTTCCTAAAGCCTCAAGCCCCAAAGCACTGACACCAAGTTAAGCCCGTAAACCATGAATCCTCCATGCGTGCACGGTTGCTTGCAACGCGCAAGCCCCCAGCGCGGGCATACCACCACAACTAATCTCTTTCTTTCTCTTATATATACATATATGCGTATAACCAACTAGATGGAGACAACATGAGAACACCAGGAGACTAACCAAAAGATGCCCAAACAGATCATCCCGAGAGCACCAGAACATCACAAGACCATCGGCAAATACTTAGATACAAGATGTATGGACATGTAATATGTCGTGTTCACAACATGATACACACCCATGCGCATATGTACGTTTACTGGTGACCGCACAATGTAATAAGTGCACACTTGTATTGCGCTGGCACTTGCAGGAGTAGGTTGAGCGTGTAAATTTCTCGCACACCCTGGCCAATCGTAAGGCCTGGTCTTTAATCTCCTACCTCGTCCAGAAGCTTCTGGCGCAGTTCGGCTCTTGCTACGGGTTTCGGCTTAGATAGCCGTGATCGGGATCTGTAGCGAAATTGTATCGAATGGTAATCTTTCCTTACGATGGTTCCTTGGTTTAGGGTTTAAAGGTTTAGGGTTCAGGGTTTAGGGTTCAGGGTTTAGGGTTTAGGGTTTAGGGTTTAGGGTTTAGGGTTTGAGGCACCTCAGCTGAAAAAGGGTTTGAGGTTTAGGGTTTAGGGTTCAGGGTTTGAGCAAGAACGCAACGGGCTCAAGCTCGGTGGCTTCTGGAGCCGCGTGACCGGCTTCAGCTGCCATCCCGCCAGGCTCTGAGCGGGGAGGTGCTCCCTAGGCATTCTGCTACACTGCCGCCCTCAGCCCTGGTAGTAGTGACGAGCGTAGGAATCGCCATGGGATCTGAAGGGATTTGCGTAGGGATTAAGGTTTTGGCACTAGGGTTTGTTTCAGTGGTGTTAGGAGTTTGGTTTCGAAGTTTGCTACTGAGGGGCAAATACCTGCCCGTACAGTGACTTTCGGTTCGATGCGGAGAGGGCGAAGCATCTGCGAGATCTTCGCGACTCCTGTAAGCGACGCACACTCACCCAGAGAACACAATACCCATGAAGCGAATAAATACTCAGCAAAGTTAAATGAAGGTTCCTTTTATCATTTAAGGGGTATGTCTAATGTAAGGGGTAGTATTCGGCTTTGGTGGCAGTTCTTGGAACTCCAGCGGAGAGGGAGGGGTTCAAACCCCCTTTTTCGGTGGGACAAGAGCGGAGAGGGCCTCGTTATTCTCATCTCGCAGTTTTCATCACCAGGCACCCACGGGCCCCATAGTAGTTCCTTTTTGGGGTTACCTTGTAGGATTCTATATATATGAACCCCAAAAAGGAGCTACTTTAGGGCCTATGGGTATTGCTTGCGTGATCACACGCTGTCCATGACTCCGCAGGGGTGCCATGCAGAAGTCTTACACCGGCAGCCTGCTCCCACCCAAGCACGATCCTAGAACACACGGCCCCCTCGGCCTTGAAACCTGAAAAATACAAGCAAAATGAGCCTAAACCCTAAACCCTAAACCCTAAACCCTAAACCCTAAACCCTAAACCCTAAACCGAACAAACAGGCACAACTTGAATCAAGTGCTACGGCAAGAACTCCGCCAGGCAGCCCGAAGGTCGGTGGTGTAACATAGGGGCCTGAATAATCAGAAGAGGGTTATGGGATATATATATATATATATAACCATATATATATATATAACCATATATATATATATATATATGTGTATATATATATATATATTAGTACCATAACTATATTAAGGCACCCTAGGGCTCTAGGGAATAGCATTCTGCAGCAAGGCCCCTATGTTAACATCATCACTGACCGTTTCTGAAGTTTAACTGAGCCAGGATATGACAACCCGGAGGAGTTGCAACACGATGCGGCGAATTGACGGTGGGATGTTTGCGACTCCTGGAAGCGCGGTGCACTCCAACAGAGAGCCCGAGAGGGTTTAGGTGTTGGGAAAGAACACATTTTTCTGGACACGTTGTCCATGACCCAGCAGCTGCGGCATGGAAAAAGAAAGTGCAGAT